GAAACAAGCGGTCAAAACAGCATCCTCCCAAAAACGGAAAGGGACTTTATTATGTAAAAGTAGGGTACGAGCAGTTTTAATGAGATGTCTGTTTTTACGATTAACAACCCCATTTTGTTGTGGGGTATAAGCACAAGAGGACTAGTGAAGGATTCTGAGAAGTCATGAATTTAGTGAAGGGATTAGAGAAATACTTGCCGAGTATTATCACTGTGTAATACTCGAATAATGGAATTAAATTGAGTCTTAATTTCCGTACAAAAAGATTCAAAGATGGAAAATAACTCGGAATGAGTTTTCATTAGGAATAACCAAGTGCAGTGTGAGTAATCATCAATAATGGTAACAAAGTACTGAAAACCTAAATCAGATGACACATGACAAGGTCCCCACACATCTGAATGAACTAACTCAAGAGGGGACACAACATGTTTATTGACATGCTTTAGAAAGGTGCTACGAGAATGTTTTCCAAGCTAACATGACTCACAATTTAAAGACGATAAATTAGATAGACCAAGATGCATCTTTTTAAGCTTTACTAAGCTGGTATGACCCAAACGATTATGAGTGTTGGTGATTTAGAGACAGTGCATGCTATAGATGGTAGATGGAGATGATAGAGGCCTTGTGACTCATGTCCTACGTTAATCATCCGTCCTGTGCCTTGATTTTATATAACAATAGAGTCGGTATCAAAAGATATAGAACAATTTAAAGAGCGGGTAAGTTTATTGATAGACACAAGATTAAATGGACAATTGGGAATATAGAGAACAGAGTCTAATTCTAAGGATGGAAATGGTTTGGCATGACCTACAACTTTAACAACAGCTTTGGAGCCATTGGCTAAAGTAACGGATGGTAAAGATGCAACATTAGTGAAATGAGAAAGTAATTGAGGGTTACTAGAAATGTGATCAGAGGCACTCGAGTCAAGAACCCAAGGTCCAAGAGAAGAAGACTGAGTAAGGCATGCAATTGAATTACCTGATTGAGCGATAGAGGCAATAGACTAAGAAGACTGCTTATTTGCCTGAAACTTAAGGTATTCTTCATAATTAGCCCCAATGAGAGTTAATGATGGTTGCGTGTGTCCTTCAGAAGAGTCAGAACGAAGGTCAACCTGAGCAACATTAGCGGTCCGAGTAGGGTGACCATGTAATTTGTAACATTTTCCCCTAGTATGGTCCCAACGATAACAGTAACTACACTCAGGTCGTCCGCTTTGACCACGATCTCCCTGCTCTAATTTATAAGTAGTTTGAGACCAAGAAGCCAGAGCATAAGAGTCAACAATAGTAGAACTGGGGACAGTACTTAGGGATGAAACTCGAAGTAACCTAGCAAATATTTCATCAAGAGATGGCATAGTAGTGCTAGCTAAAATCTGATCTTGTATAGGAGTGAGATCAGGACTAATAGTAGCAACGGTTAGATCCATGAAGAATTTGTCTCGTTGTGCTAGATCTTCTGCAGCAAATTTACCAACTGGTAGGAGAAGATTGTACTCTGCCTTGAGGGAGGCCATCTTACCAAGAAAATCTGACATACTCATATTCTGTTGTTTTAGATGAAGGAGATTGGACACAACGGAATACAAGCGTTGAATATCATTGGTATATAGTAGTTTAGCCTGACTCCATATCTCACAACTTGACCTGGCAAAACGGGTCTAAACCTATGGGTTGACCTTAAACCTGGGAAAATTATATAGGGCACGGGTCCATGAAATTGGACCCGTTTTTGTCAGACTCGTACCTGACCCTACCTGTATTTCCAACCGGTTATGCGAGTTAACTTGCGGGTGCCTGCGGGTACCCTTTTTTTTTTTTTTTAAATCCCCTTTTGTAACTTTGTTATCGCGTTTCCCACTCCAGACTAGTCTTATTCTGTTCTTCATTTCCAAATCCCTAACTCACTCACTCACTCACTCACTCTCCTAGCCGTCTTCTTCTGATATTCATTCTTCTCTAACGCAACTCCCCTCCCAAAATCAATCTCGCAAACGTATATCTTCTTCTCTAACGCAACTCCACGTCAGTTGTCGACAGTCTCCAAACTCTCCACCTCGCAAAATCAATCCCGCTCATCCAAGGTATGTAACTCACTCACTCTCGTCTCTCACTCTCACACTCATGACTCACCCACTGACCCCTGTCTTCCTCAACCCAAAGTCTTTTTCTTTTTCTGTTTTTCTCTTGGTTTTGTCACTAAAACAACTTCCCTGGAATGTTGCCGGAATGTCTCTGTCTCCTGTGAGTACCACCACTAGCACGAGCAAGCGCAAGTGCTTTGTGTGTGTTTGTGTTTCCCTCTTTCGGGTTTGACAGAAGAGTCTAAAATGGAAATAAAGTTTTGAACTTTACTTGCCTGACTTTAATTGCCTTTGGGCTTTGTGATTGTGACACCTATGAGACTATGAGTGAAAAGCTTGACTTTAATTGCCTTTGTGATCGTGACTCTTTGCTTTGTGATTGACTGATTGTGACTCTTTGCCTATGAGATAATACGCAAGTTAATTCACTTGATTGTTGTGTGTCCAAAGAAGAGAAAAAGATTAAGTTAATTAATCATGGTTTGACTGCTAATTAAGGGGGTTTTTGGAGAATGGAGATTTTTGGATTTAGACTCAAAACAACGAATAATTAAGGGCATAAATTATATGAATGAACATACCCATCTTTTAGTGCGGAGCTGTTATAGAGTGCTTTTGAGTTTTCAATTTAATGTCAATATATTTAAACTGGCTACTTGATGAATTTTGGATATGGGTGATCTTTTCAAGGCAACTAAAAGAACTCATTGTGAATTTTGTAAAAAATTAAAAATGCAGGAATTTTGGGGTGTAATTGTCATAATTGAAAAATGTTGGGGGTGAAAATACAAAAAATGAAAATTGGAGAGAGAAAAAAGGGCACTCGCGGGTCCACCCGTACCTGCATAGGGTTGGGTATGGGCCCAATATTTTGGACTCGTACAATTTGACTTGTATTGGGCCCGTACCTATGAGACCCATACCTGTATTGACCTGACCTGACCCAACTCGCCCCACCTGCCCGTTTTGCTAGGTTTACTCACAACATGTGCTATATGTTTTATAAATGAGATGCAGATTAGTGTCAATTGACTGCCATAATAGGCTACACAATAAAACATCAGTTTTGATACAAGAAGACTTATCTGATGTGATGTCGACAACCTTTGTGGTCAAGTGATCCTTTAGATATTGACCCGTACACCATAACTCGACAGAGGCAGTCCAAGAAGAATAATTTGCACTCCCAATCAACTTATCAGTGGTGATTAGTGGGAGAGACAAGAAGGAAAAACCACCGGAAGTGGAGCTTGAGCTGGAAGTAACCATGATAACTAGCAAATTTGATCGAAAACCAGAACTAGAGGTAACACGGATCAAACAAACAGATGAAGACATAACAGGTTGTTTGAAAAAAAAATTAGCAGAAGATCCGGCGAGGACAACGGTAGAATCTGGTGAAGCTGTTGGAGTTTGACGTCGAAGGCAGTAGAACCTTAGTGGGTTTTGCTCGCCATCGTCTTCTGAGCAAGCTGGTGTCGGCGGTGAGAATTGATGCTCGTCGGAAAAAAAGATCGGAGTTGGATATGCCAGAAAGAAACATTGCCTGTGGAGGCGCGTGTAGCGGCCGATGACGTCGATCTTTGTGAGGTTCTACCAGCGAGATGGAGAAGATGAGATGTGTATGGTCAGATGGAGGTTTTGACCACCGGAGAGAGACGCCTAATCGTCGCCGAAACAAAAAATTTAAAATTTCTGACAACCTGGCACTGATACCATGTAAAAATCAGAGAGAACTAAATAGTGTGTTTTTATTACTTGTATATTGATAAAAAATAATACATCAATGTATAGAAAAGTAAAGAACTAATCTAGGAAATAAATAATTTAATCTAGGAAATGAATAATCTAACTTCCCATTTTACAGATTTTGTTCTTATTATATATCGATTACAATCCTAATATAAATTGATTACAATCCTAATATCCTAATATAGAATTGTGCACTTCAACAACATGATTGTAAGGGTGGAAGAGGACCTTTCTTTATGAAGGGATAGACTAACTCTAGTTCCATCTTTGTTGTCTAGTCTACTCACATACAACTTAGTGCTCTTCAATTAAAACTTTTCATTCAGATAATTTCTTAGCTGTAGTTGTTTTTAGTTTTGTTATTGAAGTAGAATTTAGTTAGGTTGCTTAATTTTAACTTTTTACGTAGGGATGTATGTTCTTATTTTATTTGGTTTGATCTCTATATATATGGCCAAATTTCTGTTTGTGGTAGGCTTGATTGAATTGAAGATTGAAGTACAAATACTCCAAATCTCTTTTTCGCTTGACTTTCTGATTTTCCTGTTTCTTGTTCTTCTAGATTTCCCTCATTTAATTTTTCGTCTCTTATTTCAATCCTATTGGTCCTACATCAGTTCACTATCATAACCCAACTTCGTTCACATTGGTAAATACTTTCAAACACTAAAACGACTTCTGAATACTTCCCACAAAAACTAAAATTGTGCTGAAAGAACCTTTCCAAAATTACCAAAAACCTTCAAAGCTGAATACCCCAGAATTCGTGCCGTTCCAGGTGTCTCTGATTCTGCCTGGAAAGTCCAGTCTGTTGTTTAATATTGATCTCATTCTCACCACCGTGAATTTCTGGCTGCTGTGTGTCTTAGGTTTTCCGGTAATCATGTGTTAGTCTGCTTTTTGAAAAGTTTTGTTTTTTTCAGTGGTGGTAGAAAAACCCAGTATTGTGGAACTGTGAGACATCAGCTATCTTGTGGGTTATATTATTGGCAAGAAATAGAAATATTTTTGTGTGCTAGAGATGGCAATGAATTTTTATAATACAGCTCTTTTTTTCGTACATAGTTGTAAACTGATGCTAATATTCACAAGTGATGGATTTTTTTTTGCCCCTTTTTATGTTCCTTATTGTTTTGTCTTCTTTTTGCAGATTCTCAACTGATTATCTCACAAGGATGGCCGGGATTGATTTCTATCCATCTGGAGGTTTGTCATTTTCAGTTCTGTTTTTTTATTTCTTCACGTGAAAATATTCTAAGCATGACCTAAGAGGCTTTGATATATAAATAATCAGTTAATGAGACAGGCATTATAGATTTTAGTTTTTATAGTGTATAACACAACATTAAATTGATAAAGTTATTATAATAGGACACCAAATACTGAGCAGTGGAATAATTCAATAGATTTTGACAAATCATAATAATATATATACATACATATGTATGTTTGTATTTAGTAACAAACTTTAAACAATAGTAAAAGATAAAATAAACAATAAAAATGGCTAAAAGAAAACTCACATTTATTAGAAACAAACTTGAAGCATACATTTAATATTTGAAAATAAATTTTAACAAAAGATGTCTCCTCGAAAGTTAGCTCTTGTTGTTATATAGAAAAAAAGGGCAAAACTGAAAGACACCACTTCAAATATAACGAAATAAAAGATAAGAATCTTAACGGTAGCACCAAACCCAAAAGAAAGACTTTTATAGATAAAATTCAAACTAAAGGGCCTCTCGTGTCGTGGATATTGGTGGAGTTGAACCGGTTCCAAATATTCTGCCAATAGAGAGAGAGACAATCATGGACTTCGAGCCATTGGGCTTCCATAAGGATTACAATCAGGATCTCACCCAAGACCATGTAAAGAAGAGTTCATATCATCAGAAAGGGCTGAGAGAATTCTTGACTTAATTTCTTCTTGAGAAAGCTCGTTCGCCTTTTCTTTGACAATGGATGAGCTATCAAGTATCATGGAATCAATTCTCTTCTTCCTCCCTTTCAAAATGGTCGTTGTGCCCCAATTTAATGAGACGAGGCCTAAAATTTTTAGGCTTTAAGGTTAGATTATCAAATTTTGGCCTCTAACGAACTTTGATTGCTCTAAGGAGCTTAGAAACAATTGAAGTACCTGGAACTTGCTCATCAACTTCATACTCCCATTTTTAGTTCGTATTACTTGGTCATTAAGGTTACAAATTTTTTGAAGCAGAGGCTTGACTTTCAGAGGAAGAATTTCTTCCGAGGCTCCCCGGAGAAAGAACTATTCCTTAAACCAATTTAGGAACTCATTGTTATGATTTTTTAAATCAAATATGAAAGTATTACATTTAGGCATGAAAGTATTTTCTTATGTATCAAAATTCAAAACTCTCTCATTTGGTTTTTTCAGATTTGATTTAATAAATCATAACAATGAGTTTCTAAATTGGTTTAAGGAATGGATTTTTTTTTTGGGGAGCCTCACAAGAAATTCTTCCTCTAGAAGTCAAGCCTCCGTTTCAAAAATTTTAGAACCTTAATGGCTAGGTAATACCGACTAAGGATGAAGCTATTGCTCAATTCTTCGCCTTTTATAATGTTACATATGTAGATAGCTTTCTAGATTATAGGGATCACATTGATATCCTGGATTATAGGGATCACATTGATCTTGTATCATAATAGGAATTGATCACCTACCTAGCTTAGAACTCTACAAGTGTATATAAATATGTATCTTTTTATTCTATGAAAAAAAAAAACAGTGTGAATATTCATCCTTAATACGTTTTTTACATGGTATCAAAGCCTTAAAAGGTAATTAGGGTTTGAGTTTCAAATTAGGAATAATTAGGGTTTGGGTTTCAAATTGGGAACACCTGTTTAGGGTGAGATTTGTTTGACACCGCCACCCTAGGGAGAATCAGAAGTTGTCGATCGGCAAAACCCCGAGTTATAGCCATCAGAATCCCCGCGCGTGAGCTCCATGCGCCACCCGAAACTTCGGTCAACAGTACCACGCGTCGGCGCGTGAGAGCGCGTCCACTGTTGACTTCTCCTCCGGTTCTGTTCGTCTACTTCGCTGGCACTTATACAGCACATTTTCGTGCTGGATTGGGTAATCTCTCACTGGCTACTGCTGTTCTTTATTTGGATATTTCTGCGGATTTGGTTGTGATTTTTTTTCATAATTTTGTTTTTGTTTGGTTATTGGATTTTTGCTGTGCTCTGGTCTCTGGTTGGTGGTGGTTGTTGATTGATTTGGTGTGTCACTAAAGTTTGGTTACTTTGTTTTAACCGTTTGTTGGTGTGCATTGGGATTATAGTTTGTTTAAGACATGTCTGATACAAAGTCAGTGATGGAAATGATACCGATGATGTCAAAAATTACAGAACATAAGCTCATTGGTATAACTAATTATCATGATTGGCCTAAAACTGTTATACTGTATTTGCGGAGTATTGATAAAGATGATCATATGATTGATGATCCACCTAAGGATGATTCAAAAAAGGCATGGCTCCGGGATGATGCTCGATTGATTCTACAAATACGGAAACTCTATTGACGGTGAGATACTTGGCATAATTAATCATTGTGAGTTTATCAAAGAACTAATGAATTATTTGGAGTTTCTGTATTTTGGAAAATGGAATGTTTCTCATATTTATGAAGTGTGTAAGACATTCTACCGTGCAGAGAAACAAGACAAGTCTCTTACACCTTATTTTATGGAGTTTAAGAAGACTTATGAAGTGTTGAACATGTTGTTACCCTTCAGTGTTGATGTCAAAGTTCAATAAAAACAACGGGAGCAAATGACAGTCATGAGTTTTCTTGCAGGTCTTTCTTCTGAATTTGAGACTGCTAAGTCGCAGGTTCTAGCCAGTCTAGAGATTTCTTCGTTGCAGGATGTCTTTAGTAGGGTACTTCGCATAGAAGGTACCTCACCGGTTCAGTTTAGTGGTGTTCTTGTCAGTCAAAAGAACGACTATGAATCTGGGCGATCACAATTTGGAAGTGGCAACGAATGAGGAGGGTCAAATAGTAATATGGGAGGAATTGTGTGTCACTATTGCCATAAGCCAAGACACATGAAGCGTGATTGTAGAAAGCTTCATAACATAAATAATAGAAATACCTTTGCCCATGTTGCATCCACCAATGATACTTTTGATTAATCAGTTCTTATCTCTGCTGATGAATTTGCCAAGTTTTCATTGTACCAGGAATCATTAAAAGCTTTATCTACTCCTATCACAGCTTTGGCTGACTCAGGTAAGCCAAATACATGTCTCCTTTCCTCATCCTCCAAATTCGTCATCGACTCTGGTGCAACAGATGACATGTCAGGTAATCCTAGTCTCTTTGCTACTTATCAATCAAAAACCCTTTCGAATGTGACTTTAGCAGATGGGTCACCATCCTACATCATTGGGTCTGGCACAGTTACCCCTACCATACAGCTTCCCTTATCAAATGTCTTACATTTACCAGATTTTTCTTTCAATTTGATTTCTGTTAGCCAACTTACTCGTGCTCTTAACTGTTGTGTTTTATTCTTTCCCGATTATTGCTTGTTTCAGGATCTTACGACGAAGAAGATTATTGGTAAAGGACATGAATTTGGAGGTTTATATATTCTTGACAGACCAAAATCTACACCCGTCGCTTGTTCTGGCGTTGCATCCCCGTTTCAAGCACATTGTCGTTTGGGCCATCCATCTCTTCTTTCACTGAAGAGATTGTGTCCTCAGTTTAATAAAGTGTCTACATTAGAATGTGAGTCATGTTAGTTTGCTAAACATCATCGTGTCAGTTCTAGTCTTATAGTCAATAAAAGAGCTAATTCTCCTTTTGAGTTAGTTCACTCTGATGTTTGGGGTCCCTGTCCAGTTCTGTCTAAAACTAGTTTTCGATATTTTGTTACATTTGTGGACGATTACTCTTGTATGGCTTGGTTATTCTTAATGAAAAATTGTTCTGATTTGTTTTCTTATTTCTGTGCGTTTTGTATTGAGATTAAAACTCAATTCAATGTTTCTGTTCATATATTGCGTAGTGATAATGTAAAAGAATATCTGTCAGTTTCTTTTCAAAATTACATGACTCAGAATGGCATTCTTCATCAAACTTCATGTGTTGATAATCCATCTCAAAATGGAATAGCAGAACGGAAAAACAAACATCTTCTTGAAACTGCCAGAGCGTTATTATTCCAAATGAATGCTCCTAAATCATTATGGGCTGATGCAGTTTCCATCGCCTGCTTTTTGATTAACCGCATGCCGTCTTCTGTCCTTCATGGTGAGACCCCGTACAGTATTCTTTTTCCTAACAAAACATTATTTCCTCTTGAACCTAGGGTATTTAGTAGCACTTGCTTTGTTCGGGATGTTAGACAGTCAGTCACTAAATGAGATCCCCAGTCATTAAAATGTTTCTTTCTTGGTTATTCTTGACTTCAGAAAGGATATCGGTGTTACTGTCCAAGTCTTAATAAATATCTTGTTTCCATTGATGTTGCCTTTTTAGAAGAAACACCATACTTTCCCTCTTCTTCTGCAGATCGTCAGAAGGATGATGATAATAATGAATTGTTAGTTTATATCTTCACTTCCCCTACACCGATATCTGCATCGGCTCCTATCTCTGATCCTACTCCTATCAAAGTCTACTCTCGTCGGCCACCTCCTCCTGCTTCATGTCCGGCACCAACTTCTTCGTCATCCGATCCTGTTTCAAGTGATGATCTTCCTATTGCATTGCGAAAAGGTAAATGATAGTGTACTTATCCTGTTTCTTCTTGTGTTTCTTATGATCATTTGTCACATTCATCATGCTCCTTTATTGCTTCCCTTGATTCTATTAATATCCCTAAAACTGTTCATGAAGCCCTTTCTCATCCTGGTTGGCGTAATGCCATGATAGAGGAAATGAATGCCTTAGATGACAATGGTACTTGGAAATTGGTAGATTTACCTTCAGTTAAACAGGCAAATGGGTGTTTACAGTTAAAGTTAATCTAGATGGGTCAGTTGCTCGGCTAAAAGCTCGTCTGGTTGCTAAAGGATATGCTCAGACCTACGGAGTTGATTATTCTGATACTTTTTCCCATGTGGCTAAGTTCAACTCCATTCGGCTGTTTATCTCTATGGCAGCTACTTATGATTGGCCTTTGCATCAGCTAGACATCAATAATGCTTTTCTTCACGACGATCTTCAGGAAGAGGTTTATATGGAGCAAGCTCCTGGGTTTGTTGCTCAGGGGGAGTATGAGAAAGTATGTTATCTTTGCAAATCTCTGTATGGTTTAAAACAGAGTTCTCGTGCTTGGTTTGGAAAGTTTAGTCAGGCTGTTGAGAGATTTGGTATACTAAAATGTAAAACTGACCATTCTGTTTTCTACAAACAGTTTGAAACTGACATCATTCTTCTAGTTGTATGTGGATGATATTGTTATTACTGGGAGTGATAGTGTGGGCATCACATCTCTTAAGTCTTTTCTCCATACCCAATTCCACACGAAATACTTAGGGATATTGAAGTATTTCTTGGGGGTTGAAGTTACAAGGAGCAAACGAGGTATATTCCTCTCTCAGAGGAAATATGTGCTCGACTTATTAACTGAGACAGGAAAATTGGGGGCAAAGCCATATAGTGCTCCGATGGTTCCTAATATGCAGCTTACGAAAGATGGTGAACTATTTGGAGATCTTGAGAAATATAGAAGATTGGTTAGGAAGTTAAACTATCTTACGGTGACTCGTCCAGATATTGCATATTCAGTAAGTGTTGTCAGTCAGTTTATGGCCTCTCCAACAGTTCATCATTGGGCGGCTTTGGAGCAGATCTTGTGTTATTTGAAAAGAGGCCTTGGACATGGTATATTATATGCCAATCATAGTCACTCACATATTGAATGTTTTTTAGATGTAGATTGGGCAGGTTCTAAGGTAGATTGAAGATCCACATTAGGCTATTGTTTCTTTGTCGGAGGAAATTTAATATCATGAAAGAGAAAGAAGTAGAATGTCGTGTCACGATCAAGTGCAGAGTCAGAATATAGGGCTATGGCACAAACTGTTTGTGAAATAATGTGGATATATCAGTTCCTGACTAAAATAGGCCTTGAAACTTCAGTACCAGCGAAATTATGGTGTGATAACCAAGCGGCTTTTCATATTGCATCTAATCCAGTGTTCCATGAATGAACAAAACACATTGAGATCGATTGCCATTTCGTCTGTGAGAAACTACAGCAAGGTCTGATTTCCACTACGTACGTGAAGACTGGAGAACAATTGGGAGATATCTTCACAAAGGCTCTAACTGGGATTCGAGTTGATTATCTTTGTAACAAGCTGGGTATGATTGATATCTATACTGCAGCTTGAGGGGGAGTGTTACATATGTAGATAACTTCCTAGATTATAGGGATCACATTGATATCCTGGATTATAGGGATCACATTGATCTTGTATCCTAATAGGAATTGATCACCTACCTAGCTTAGAACACTACAAGTGTATATAAATATGTATCCTTTTATTCTATGGAAAAAAACAGTGTGAATATTCATCCTTAATACGTTTTTTACATATAACATTCCTTGGATTTTTAAATGGGAATATGAAATTAATGAGCAAGTTCCAAGTACTCCAATTGTTTCTAAGCTCGTTAGAGCAATCAAAGTTGGTGGCCAAAATTTGATGNGCATTTGGCACGAGGAATGTTTTATTATTAAAAAGGTATGATTATCACTAAGATAGATTACCTTGAATATTACAGAAGAATGTTATATTAATATGTTTGGTTAGATTAATGGGTATAAATAATTAAAATATTTGGTTGGAAAGAATAAAATATTATTGACAGAGGCTTTTACTGAATTACCTTTCCTTTTTAATAATAATAATAATAATAATATTAATATTATTATTATTATTATTATTATTATTATTAAATAAAACTACTTTGAACCCCCTACATTTGAAGATTTAGCTAAAACACCCCAACAACAAAAGTTTAAATTAAAAAAAAACCCCCAACCATTATAGACGATTGTTAGTTACTAGCCACCATTGTCGGCCATTGTTGCAGTCACTAGAATAGTGCACGACAGGCCATATTTGGTCGGTCGTGCATCGATGTGGCCATTTTCAACCAGATCCACGACCGCTAATGTCCAGAATAGATTTGGTCGGGTTCGGCCAAATACACGGCCATCTGGCCGTTTTCAACCTTCGATCTGGTTGAAAATGGACAAATCGATCACTACCGGCCAGATCCAGTTGGTCGTTGTAAAACCCCCCTCCAGTCAGGTATCCTCTGAATATCCCTCAATGAGAATCTTGTGGATATATGTCTGGAGAACGAGTTGTATTTAGAAAAAATCTGTATAAGGATAATAATAATAATATCCAAAACATGCATATAAAATATCAGACAGGATCTAAACTTATAATTTACAAACTTTAAGAAATTACAAGATCAAAACATATTTACATCAAGATAAAAACATCGAGATGATAATAAATCATCTCCCCTCACGTGTAGNTCGTTAGAGCAATCAAAGTTGGTGGCCAAAATTTGATGATCTAGCCTTGAAGCGTAAAATTTTAGGCCTTCTCTTATTAAATTAGGATAGAAAGGCCATTCTGATAGGGAGGAAGATAAGAAAACCAATTCAATGATACTTGATATCTCTTCCATCATCAAAGAAAAGAGGAAATGACTTTCTCAAGAAGAAATTAAGTCTAGAATTCTCTTGGCCTTTTTTTGATTTTATGGACTCCATTTTACATGATCATGGGTTAGATCCTAATTATGATCTTTATGGAGGCCCAAAGTTCATGATTATCTTTCGCTCTGTTGGCAGAATTATTTGGGATTGGTTTGCCTTCATTGGTATCGAGGACACAAGGGTCTTTCCAATTTGTATTTAATGTGTACAAGTCTTTCTTTTGGGTTTGGTGGGGCCGGTTCACCTTGTTAAGATTCTTATTTTTTTATTTCATTATGTTTGACGTCTTTCTTTGAGTTCCACCCTTAACCTATATAAGGACAAGTGTGTGCATTTGAGGAGGCATCTTTTGTAAAAAATTTCTTCAGCATATTAAATATGAGTTTTTTTTAGCCATTTTTCTTGTTTTTTTTATCTTTTAAAAGTTTGATATAATCAAAGACTGTCTTTAATCCTTATTAATCAATTGTTGTTTTGGCCAAATTTCAAATCGTAACATGTATACTATCGGTGAAGACTTGGTTTTTTCAGGTTAGTGCAGTTGATGATAATTTGCTTGATCTTGACTCTCATTGTAATGGCCTTATGATGACTCTCATTTAAGTGAGTTTTGTAAGGGTATATGTGATCTATACCTCACAAGAGTTTGCTCATCTTGTTACAAACTCATTAAGCTAAACTGACAATTAGTTTCTATTCTTACTCATTAGTGCTCGTATTTTTTTCCATATATAATCATTTTTTTTCTCAGGAATGTGGAGATATAACGGTAGATGGGGTTTCTTCTCTTTTAAATTGCATAGCTCTTGAAGATCTCTTACTGCGTCATAATGTGAGCCTTCAATTGCTGCTTTCTCTTGTGTTTTACATGCATTTTTTTTTATTCACAATCAGTTGAAGTATTTATTAACATACGGCTAGAACAATGGAGGATTGTACACTGATGTCTTGAATTTCTAGTAATTGCTTTTTAGGGGCTCCCTAGCCCTTCAGTGGAAGCCTTTTTATGATTTTCTTATGATCTATGTTCAAGAAGTACCGGGAGGTCCATGTAGAATATGAAGAACATAGTTTAGTTTGTTTGTGATTGGCTTCTTTTAGGGAGGACTTGATTTAACTATGTGGACCCTGTTTAGAAATGCATTGTTCATTTATGCGTCTGTGGCTTAAACCCATCACATTTTTTGCTATGATTTTTTTTTCATGTCTATATCATTTCTGATGGTTCTTGGCCGGAGAACGCAAAGAAAAGAAAAGGAGCAGCAAAAAACAAGAGTGTGCAAATTCATTTTCATTTAGACTGACAATATATACAAAACTTAACCAAATCATCCACTGCTACAACAACTACAGCAGACATTTACAAATTTGAATTTAAATTCTAACAACCAATAAATCATACTCAAAATACATCATATTAATGACTTAATTACACCTAAGCCATTCAACTAAACTGCATCACAACACTGCAGCCATGCATGACAGACCAACTGCAGAGAACAACCTTCAACTGGTGCCAAAAATATTCAAATTGCAACCTGTAGAATTGATGCATTTCCAGCAAGGTATCACTGCATCAACAATTTCTTTAAAAGAAATTAATATTCAGTCTCCAGAGAGATATTTATCTTATATATTACTCATAAATTACAATAAATTATCCTCAATGGTATGATGTTCAAATAATTCTCAGTTTTATGATCTTAGTTGTTTCACTCTTTTCTTTTTAGGGAAAACTAAAACTGAATATTTGATGCTTAAATCAATTTGGATTTTAATCTATCATTTCAAAATTTTGACATTTGTAGCTTACTTGAACATACAGGGCCCAGGTATACCGAGAAACTTCATTCTTGATGCTTCGGAAAAGGTAGGTACATATATCCAATGTTAATTGCTCATTTATGCTTTTCTCTTTTCTTGAAGCAAGTTTCAACTATCATTATAAATTGATGTTCCTTTTATAATGACCACAGATGCCAATGCTGCGGAAAATTTCATTAGATATGTGTGATGCGAGAGATGGTGATTTTGACATTCCAGATGTAAGTTACAAAAGGATTATTTCCTTTTTTGCTTCACATATTGCTTAAGTCTATTGGCAGGAAATAAGATGATGCGCACATATAATCATGTACACGCACTGGGTAATAGACTCCAATTTTACACTTCAAACAAAGATATGCATGATTTAGAATATACGATTTTCCTACCGAATATAATTCACTATTAGAGGTTTGGAATTTTTTCTTTTGACAGTTGAGAATTGGAGATAACAATTTTACGACGTCTAGTTGGCTTATGTTCTCTAATCTGTTCCATCCTAGTCGAGTTTTAGTTATACCCTTCAGCCAGAATGAGACTTCACTTGAGGCAAACAGTGTCCAGTTTTGAATACAATATAGAGTCGAGCCTTTTTCCCTATGTTCTTTCAGCAATGCATTAGATTTGGATTCTAACATTCCAAAATCTGTACAGTATGTTAACAGGTACTTCTTAAGCAGTGTGACGTTAGCAAGATGTTTGTCAGAGGCTCGTAGACAGCCAGTGCACAAGAAGTCATTGGTTCTAGTTTGGAACAGCAATAATGTCATAAGAACAGTGGTGAAAGAAAGACTGTAGCATTTATTGATGCTTGACAACTTCCATCGGAAAATTCTACAAGGTCCTATCAGGCAATAGGCTAAGTTGGCGGCTGAATTGAATTTCAGGATTACTTGGATGCGGCATGTAGGGTCAATTTTTCCCCACTTTGATGCTAGGAAATATAGAAGCTATCAAGAAAGGTTAAGCTCTTTATTTGAATCTGTTAAAGGTGTTTTGAAACATTGAAAACTTCACTCTTACTCTTAGTACAAGTTAATTCAAGATGTATATTTATAGAGAATTACATTGGTAGGATGTTTGAGAGTGTTTTTGTTAGAAGGAACATATAATTATCATTGATTGAAGTAATTACAAAAAAGTGAATAAAGGTAGTGTTTACTTTGTTGATTGCATAGGGATGAGAATGAGGATGGTAATGGGGATCTGTGAAGGAATGAATATGATAACATTGCTTACTTGTAACAAAGAATAGTGATGGAAGTTAAAATCTTAAGTATAAATTATTATATATGTATATTTTATACACAATCGAAGGCATTACAAGTTAATTAGTAAAAGATAACTCTATAATTTAAAATTGGGTTAGGCTATTCTACCACAATTTTTTTTACACAGATTTGTGACATAAATTCATAGTCATTGATTTAATGTAATGGATTTGGATGAGAAGTTAGTTAATTTATAATGCCAATTAAGCAATTTTTAAGCCATTGGATTACATTGAATCAATGGCAATGAATTTATGTAACCCAAACAATCTGATTTCTTGAGAGACTACCCATCGTAGATATACTTTGCTTGGTAAAACAAAAAACAACAAAAAGAACCAGCAATATTATATCTCTCTGTATCCGAAGTGAAGGTTATGGTAGTTAGCTTTGTATTTTTTACATCTGCAATAAACAATGGTAATATATTTAATGTCAAAATAAATAATATTTAACTCATTTTCGCAAATCCAACATGTTTTTCATCCTAACCGTCAATATGGTATGACTACTCTTAAAAGGTGAGAAGTTGTTCAAAGAGTTTTTAGAGTTTTAGAGTCACCAGAGTGAGCAATAACTTGTTCTAAGTGTGTTCAATAAAAAGCCTTCAAACACTAGTAAAATATTTTGATCAATAAAAGTGTTCTTCGTCAAACTTTCATTGTAAGTATTCAAGTTTATTACTATTTCTATTAAAAGCTTTAGATTCAAAATTCTGGTATTTTATTTGCAATTATTTTAAAATTATTTCATTACATGATTTTTGTTATTTACATGCTTTTTACGATCCTGCATACAAATGATACCAATTAATGAAAGTTTTCACCCTACTAGCCCACTCTCGTGACTCTAAATTGGATAATATGGATGATCAACTTTTTTGGAAGAAAAATCGTCACTAGCTGTTTCCCTATTTGCATCGTAGGGTAGATCACACACAGTGATGACAATGTTGCAAGACACGCTGTCACATTCCATATTGCTTGGCAGAGCATGTGATTCAGTTTATAAGGCATGAACCCTCATAACTAAGTAAATGTGTTTATGATGAAGGATGCTTTTAGGAAGCTCAAAAGCAAACTCGTATGTGTATGACCCCAAAGTGGGTAATATCAACTTGATTGTACCTGAGATTTGACAATTAGTATCAGAGTAGACTCGCTACCAGATTGGATGAGTATGATGACCTCATGAAGGTGCAAGGTCAATAAAGTGGGGAGTTTGTCTCATGCCACATTGCCTAGCGAATAAGCTTGGGATTTAGTTTATAAGGGTTGAGTCATTGTTATTAAGTAGACGTGTTTTGAGTGAAGGAATCTTGTATGAAATACAAAAATAAACCTATGTGGGTTTAGCCTCAAAATAGATAATATGTACTTGGTTGGACTCGAAATTTGACACGTACGATTAAAGACGACGATCATCTCCGTCAACTAGTTCTATTTTTTTTTTTTTTTTTACTTTTAGAATTTTTAAAAAGGATTTATCACCATTTATTTATTTTTTTAACATATTTAAATCACTTAGTTTTTCAAATGATCAAATATTTATTTTAATAAATAATTATATATTTAATCTGATGTTACACCAAACACTGGATTGAATGTATTGAATTTAATTGGAGCCAATTCCACCCAATTCACATCAATCAAATACGAAAAAGTTAATCCAATTTAATGTTGGAGTGCCTTTTAAATTATTTGTTAGGACGGTTATGCCACACCTCCCTTGAGGTTTCAATTAAAACATTGACACCCTAAGGTTGCGTTTGGCACAAGGAATGTTTTATTATTAAAAAGGTAGGATTATCACTGAGATAGATTACCTTAAATATTATAGAAGAATGTTATATTAATATGTTTGGTTGGAAATAATAAAATATTATCGATAGAGGCTTTTACTGAATTGCCCTTCATTTTTATTATTATTATTTAATAAAATTCTTTGAACCCCCTACATTTGAAGATCTAGCTAAAAAACCCTCCAATAACAAAAGTTTAAATTAAAAAAAAAAACCCCCAGCCATTACATACGATTGCTAGTTGCCAGCCACCACCGTCAGCCGTTGTCGCAGTCACTAGAATGGTGCACGATCTGCTAGATTTGGCTGGTCGTGCATCGATGTGGCCATTTTCAGCCAAATCCACGACCGCTAATGTTCAGAATAGATTTGGTCTGGTTTGGCCAAATACACAGCCATCTGGCCGTTTTCAACCTTTGATCTGGTCGAAAACGGATAGATCGATGCACTACCGGCCAGATCCAGTTGGTTGTGCATTGTTCTGATGATGTTAGCGGCGATCGATAGTAGTGGCTGACTACCGATAGTCCTTTGCAGCGGCTAGGGTTTTTGGGTGGTATTAATATCAATAGTGAGGGGCATTTATGTCCAAAAAATTAATTTTGAAGTAATAGAAGTCATTTTACATAGTTGGGCTAATTGTTATTTGGTAGACATATGAGGGCATTTGTGTTTGAAATGTTTTTTAATTAAGGGTAAAATTGGTATGAATAGTAGATTACCTCGGTAATCTTTTAATAACACCCCTTGAGACGGTAGTCTGATTACCCCCTATATCACCTACAATAAACACTGTTGGCTTTGCAATATTACCGAAATCTTTTATTACTTGATAGCCAAACATGAGAATGTCTAGAATAAAAGATAGATTACCGGTGTTATCTTCCTTTAGCCCTAACCAAACGCACCCTAAAGGTATAAAAATTTACCCTGACCTCGTTCCACATTTGAAGATTACCAATACCTTCCCTCATTGGCCTTAATTGATAAATTTCTTTCATTTGCTTTATTTTATTTAATCCTATGAGATTAATTACATTTTATTTCAAAAGAATTAAAAACACCCTTGCCCTTAAAGATATGTTAAGGTTCCATTAAATTTTAAAATTAGAAGTCTATTTTATCCTTTCCCTTTCTCCTACCTTATTGGTTTTATAAAACATTAATTTCGTAATCAAATAATTCATTATTTGTTTATAATTTTTATTTTAATTATTTTTTAAGGAAAATACTTCATTTTACAAAAAAAAAAATCATTTTTTAATTTAATCGTTTTTACTTAAATTTTTTTAAATGTATTATATAAATGTGATTTAAGAATTTTGTTGAGTTAGTAAGTAATGGAAAGGTAAAATAGACTTTTAATTTAGAAATTGGATGGAACCATAGCATATCACTAACAACAAGGGTGTTTTAAATACTTTTAAAACGAAATGGATGAGTGTCATATTAATAGATCTTATAAGAGGTAAATGAAGTAGACCAGACAAAACAAATCTATCAATTAAGGCCAATGAAGGGAGGTATCGAATAATTCTTCAAATGTAAAAGGGGTCAGTGTAATTTTTCGTACCTTTGGGGTGTAAGTAAAAATTGAAACCTCAAGGGAGGTGTGAGGTAATAATCCTTATTGTTATCTCCACAAAAAAATAATGTTCTGAAAACCAGACTGAATCGGTTGGTCGTACCGAGAACTGACGCCCTCTCCGGTCCATTTTACCCTTAACCCGGTAATAGCAATCTAATAGCAATCAGGCAGGATTGACTTGCGGTTGGATCGGTGGAATAGTGCCAAATTGCCGGTCTAACCGCAAGTCAATTCGGCCTGATTTTGGCATTGTTCAACCTTCCTGACACCACTATTAGCTTCACCGTCACCTCCATGACAAAACCTTACCATTTTCAATCCCAGTGCACCTTCCGTTTGTCACTCATCGTCCACCTTTTGTTCACATGACTGACAATCTTCCTCCCTCATTCACATAGCTTTTGGCACCATTCGACCTCCCTGACACCACCATAAGAATCGCCTTCATCTCTACATTAAAAGCCACATCATCCTAAACTCTAATTGACTGCCGACTGTCGTTGTGGCCACTAATCTCTTCGTGCGATTGCCTAGATTGAAGTGGTGTATTTGTTGGATTTCAAACCTGTAGGAACACATGCGTATTTTACAGGGGTGTTTTTGTTGGAATTCAAACTTGAAGGGACTAATGTGTAATTTTGCATGGGTATATTTGTTGGATTTCAAATATGCTGGAATTACTGAAGTCACCAATTTGATTGATTGGTTCAATAGGTCAGACCGATCAACCCAAGAATCGGGCCCTTGACCAGGTCAAGGCTCGGTCTGGTTTTTAGAACATTGCAAAAAAAAAAAAAAAAAAAAAGGTAAAGTAAATAGTAAAGCAGTTAGGAAACTATTGTGTATGCTAGGAAATCAATTAAAGTCAAGGACACCACTCCAATTTTTGAACAACTTTTGAAAAGTGAGGGTATTTATGTTAATAGAAAAAAAGTTGACGTGTCCCTAAATTTTGAAAAAATGACGGCACTAACTACTACGAGGGTATTATTCAAGAGTTTGATTTACCTTGATTTCTAATAAAGATGACTACTAAAAGCTTACTTGATCATTAACTTGAAGGCTGAGGATTAGTTCACTGTGATGCCCTTGAATCATAGTGGCAGTGTAGATTTTCACCTTTAAAAAGATAACCAACTTTCAAAAAAAAGTAATTTAAGATTGTAACTTTTATATTAAATATTAATTACTTAAACGGTTGAATGACATTTTCCAATCCAAAGTTTGGTGAATATACATTTTCCCACCTTTGGTTTTAGAAACTAACATTTTTTATTTTTCCACCTTCGTTAGTGAATTTATTATTTGACAGGGATATAGTGGGAACAAAAGACTATAATATCTTTTACTATTTGACCTTTTAGTTTTAATTGTTTAATGTAATGTCAGCATAGACAATTACCACTATACCTACACTGTAATAATGAATTGATGAATATATCCTCAACTTTATCTGTGAACATAAATTACTAATTTGTCATTTTAGTTA